TTTCCTGAGGATCCATCAGATTATGCTAACATGCCCATTATCTTCTGCTTATCATTTAGTCACTTTCTGATTTATCTTACTCTAGTTCTAAGACACTAGATTATAGTAATAAATTGGCTTTGGCATGTGTATCAGTCCTTCCAAGAAATACTGGACCATAATAGTGCATTGTTTAAGTAATTATTGTGAACCAAAAGAAAAATTCTATCAGACAATATCAAGGCTGGAACACAAATCATACCAAATTTTATCCCCTTATCTTCTCTGGTTGTGAAAGCATGGATTTGCAATATTCATACTAAAGTACAAAAAAAAAAATACATTACTTTGTTTCTACAAATCAATTGTAATCAGTTCCAATTGTCTCTTCAACTGCTGGTAGGAAATTTCATTGCTTTTATTAATTGGTGTTTTTTTATGTTTTATATTTTTTTTATTTAAAAAATTTTCTTTCCTTTTACATACCAATCCCTATTCCACTTCCCTCCCCTTCTCCCGTTCCACTCCCACCTACCCCCATCCTACCCTCATTACCTCCTCATAGAGGGTAAGGCCTCCCTTGGGTAGTCAACACAGGCTGGCATACCAAGTTGGGGCCGGACCTAGCCCCTCCTCCTCGCATCAAGGCTGAGTAAGGCATCGTACCATAATTGGTGTTTTTTGTCATATATTCAGTTAAAAAAAAAAACCAGTTAGGGATTGTACATTCTAGAACATTGAAAATAATCTACAATACTGAGAATGCCCTGTCAAAGCCAGAGCACTTCTTCCAGTATAAGTGACTTCCTTACTGTGCCCTGTGTTGACAAGATTTCTGGATACAATGGAAGCCATAGAACTTAAGGACATCTTGTAGCAATTTTTCTTTGAGGTAGTGCCATCTTCCATGGACGACACAAGCAAACAAAATGATAGTTCCTAATGCTTTTGAAAAGCTCAACCACAATATTTGCTAAAACTGATTCCCTCCTTTAAGTTCATGAATCTTTCCTGTGTGGTTTACTGTCCATCAGATAATAGGATTGTATCCTATCAGCATTGTATAATAACAGCATGCTCAGACAAGGGTGATACTTGCTCTTCTCTAGCAGAGGGACAGAGAAGAGATGAGGAACTCCATCAACCTTGTTCCTTTCATTGCTTACCCTAAAATCACATAGCACATATCAGGTTCCTGTTCATTCACTAACATCTTCAGTTTTTAAATGTCTGCAAATTTAATTTAATTTATATAATTTAATTAATATAATGTTGTATAAGTAATAATCTCTAAATTATCTTGCTTTATTATAATTAAAATGACATCATAAATAATTTGTGTATTTTGTGCCAAGTTTACAAATTTGAATATCTGTTGTATTCGGTAGAGCTAAATGTAGTGTTAGTAAGCATAAACTGAAAGTATTTTTCTATTTACTAATACTAGCTTTGACCTACGAGATTGTTGAAGATTATATTTGTATACAGCCAGTAACTGTATTATTTTATGCAAATAATTTAAGCTCTTCTGTGTCTTTTTTTATAATAGATTAAACTAGAGCATCTGAAGGGATTTACTCATTTTATAACACTAGTCTAAAACCCTATACTGGTTTCTAATTGATAATATATTCCATTTACCTAATTCTTCAATAGATTTTTTAAATTAATTTTAAGTACCATACTACTGGGTTTCATTACAGCACTTGCGTACATATGTGTCATTATGCTCTGTTCTAATCCACCCCTCTACCACTATTCCCTCCCCAGTGCCCTACGTGCCTTTCTTCCTGGTTCCTTCCCTCCCCAAACTGTCTTTCCTTCTGTTTCATGTCACATTACCCTGTCCTTTCCATTAATCCTTTCTTAAGATGTCTCACTCCCCTGATGGCCCCGGTGATTTACTGATTTTATAAGTCTGAACAGCAAATTGTCACTGTTGCGCATTTGGAAAAAATTAAGACTTTGTCTTAGTTTTTCTACCGGTAGCTGGTGTACTAGGCACTGTCTGTGGATATCATTGTAGTGTCATCTGTGAAGTCTCTATTTGACAGATCATTCAAAATATATCTTGATATAACTTAAATACGTGAAAATATTAATGTTTGCTTCTAGTTCTAAGTAGTAAGCATGATTTGCATACATAGTATTTTCTTGGAAATTTTCTAGAATCTAGTAAAAGATGTACTTTACGATTGAAAATACATCAGAATCATTAAATGCTAAAATAATACTCTATAGAATACCTACAAATGTAAGTTTTTCCAAAAAGTTTTGCGCACATTAGTTAGTTAACATAAATTGGCTTGTCGAGTCCCACAGCTGACAAGTGTAACGTATCTTTGAGTGTGGTAGTACAGTACTTCCTGCTTCAATTTTCTCAAGTTGGATATCTGTGTTTGGGAGTTCTGGGACTTCCAAATGTATTTAAATCTCCACCACTTCTGTGAACAGTGCCTTTGATATTTAATAGAGGTTGCTTTGAGTCTGCAGGAGAAATTGGAAACATCAACATTTTTTAACATCATTGATCCTTGAAGACTGTGGCCATTTATATTTCCATTTCTTTGTATCCTCATCAATGGCTTTCATAACTGTTTTATACTTTTTATTCTAAAGATCTTTCACATGATTGAATAAATTTATTTCTGGCTACTTTATTCTTTAAATTTTGTAACACTATAAAAGCGTTTGCTTTCCTGATTTCTATTTCAGTTGATACACTGTCATTATAGCAATGCTACTGAGTGTTGTATGTTAACCTTGTATCTTGCAACTTTACTAAATTTATTGGTCTTACATCATTATTTGGTAATGTATTTGTGCTTCTGTAGTTGTAAGATTATGTGTGCAAGCAGTGAGAGTTTGACTGCTACCCCTGAGTCCCAGTGCCTTTCCTGTCTTTTTCTTGCATGACTGCCTGATCTAGCATTTAAAGACTTTCGCTGAGTAAAGATGCTGGACATGCACATCCTTGTTCTATTCCAGATCATAAAAAGAATTGTTCAGTCTTTCCCAGTCATTCTAATACTAACCATTGGCTTATTGTAAATATATTAAATTGTGATGACATATATTTCTTCTATACCAAGGCTATCCTTAATTTTATGAAGTCTATTAAAATAGTATAAAATGTTCTTTATGTATCTACTGGGATGATTCTATGGTTATTATCCTTCATTTTGTTTGTGTGATGAATCAAATACATTGGTTTGAAGTCACATGATATTTAACTCATAGTTCTAAATATATTTTATAAAATGAATACAAGTTGTATTCCATTTTTTTTTTCAAGAAGTGAGGAACATTAGAATGGGAAGTATTAAATAACTATGATGAAAGTAGTGACCCTTTTCATTGTATAACAGCATGGGTACCATACCAAGACAAAGGACGTGGCAAAATAATTTTAACTTTTGCCACAGCACTGACTAACATGAAAAAAGATGAGTGAAAAAGACGTGTAGATGTCTGTCCTGGGACAAAGCAGAGCTCAGAGTTAGAAGCACCACATACATGTAGTGGCAAGAATACGGACAGCCATGTTACTGGCAATAGAATGTGTTTTCCTTTGTTATAACAAGAGACATTCTTTATTTCACTAGATAATTAAGTTTTGTCAGTGTTCCCTTTGTTCCAAAATGTGAAAACCTGAACAGGTCAACATGATAGAAAAAACAGATCTCTGATTATTTCCATGGAATATGATTCTGTAGAAATGTAAAGGGTAATAATATCTGAATTATTATGGCACTAATTTTTCAATTCAGAATAAATGTAGGTTTTTCTCCTAGCTCTAAAGATGTTTTGCTTTTTGCTTTCCCTGTGCTGAGTTATTCTTAGAGTCAACGTCTTTTATATAATGTTCTTATTTTCTGTGTACAACAGCTGGGATTGTTGAAATAAACCTAAGACCCATCTGAAGATAAAGTTTTCTTGGAGTAAGTTATAGAAAAGTCTCTCTCTGTGTTACTGTGAGCATTTGATGGACTTTTTCTGTTACTCCACTCTAGTATAAAGGCATTTCCTTCACTTAATTGCAACTGGTATCATGCCTCCCAATGTATATTATGCCATTAAAATTAAAGACACAACCGTACAATATTTACAATTTCCCATTGAACCAGTGCTGAAGTAAGCAATAGGGAATTACAGAGTGTGAAGTATATTAAAGATATAATTGATCAATAGTTACCATTTTTCATATATATAATATATTATGTATAATATATAATAAATAATGTATAACATATATAATGGCATACAGACATTTTCTCTAGGTTAAAGCTGATAACATTCAGAAATATTTGGGTACCTTACTGGATGATTTTCAGCTATGTATATCCATCTCATATAGCTATATTTTATGGCCATGTGAATCATGTCAAATATGCACTCTTCAGTTATTTTGACAACTCACAAAATGAACTAAAAACACTGGATATAAAATGTTTAAATATTAAGTATATTACTATTTCCTTTTTGCATAAAATTGTC